CTCTCATTATTATTTTGCCAAGCTTGTATCTTGAAGCTACCAATAAAGGGTAGTATTATATAAAGAAGTGCAAATCAATAGATTTCCAGAGTATCTATAGTTTAGTTTTTACAATGAGTATACCAAGTATAAAGGATTGCAACCTTCAAGACAAAGTTATTTTACTTAGAGTTGACTTTAATGTTCCGATAAAAAATGGAGAAATCCAAGATAATATGCGTATTCTCAGGGCATTAAATACTATCGAGTATCTAATGAATACAGGTGCAAAAGTTGTGATCATATCACATTTTGGGCGCCCAGAAGGTCGTGATGACAATTTATCATTAAAAAATATCGTTAAAACTTTATCTCAATTATTAAACAAAGAGGTGAATTTTGTCGATGACTGCATCGGTGAAAAAGTACAAAAAGTAGTAAACACTATGGTTGCAGGAGATGTTATTCTCTTGGAAAATTTAAGATTTTATAAAGAAGAAGAGCAAAATGACTTAAGTTTTGCACAGCAATTATCATCGATAGCAGATGTATATGTAAACGATGCGTTTTCTTGTTCTCACAGAATTCACGCTTCTATTGCGCGTATTACGGAGTTCCTTCCTTCCTATGTTGGATTTTCCATGCAAAACGAATTAAAATACCTAGAAGAGTCAATATCGTTCCAAGCTAAGCCTATTACTGCAATCGTTGGTGGCGCAAAAATATCGACTAAAATTAAAATGCTTAAAAGGCTAGCAGAGAAAGTTGATTTTTTAATTTTAGGTGGTGCAATTGCTAATAGTTTTTTATCATTTAATAAGGTAAATATAGGTAAATCTTTATTTCAAACAGGTATAGATGATCTATTACATAGCATTATAGAAATAGCAAACAAGAACAATTGTAAGATCATTGTGCCAGAAGATGTATTAGTTGCAATAGATTCTGATTATAGTGTTGGTATTGCAAAAAAAATTGAGTCTATTTCAGATGACGATGTAATTTTGGACATTGGACTGCAAACTTTAGAGACAATTAGTGGTGTAATAGCAAATAGTAAAACTGTATTATGGAATGGACCTATCGGGATGTTTGAGTACCCAGCTTTTGCAATCGGGACTAAGGAATTAATGAATATTATAAGTAATTTTACTAAAAAAGGAAATTTAATTAGTGTAATAGGTGGTGGAGATAGTTCGTCAGCAATAAATGCTGCAGGTTTTACCGATAAAGACTTTACCTATGTTTCAACTGGTGGTGGAGCGTTTTTAAGTTGGTTAAGTGGTGATATGCATGCAAAGTTAAAGCTTTTTTAAGATATTACCTCTAGCGTATTAGGAGAAATATTATTTAATTATGTCAAATATGTCAAAAAGTCTTATTTTTGGTCTATGCTTTACGCCTCTTTTAATAATAGGGTTTATTTTTTATTATAAGCAAAATCAGGTTGATATTAAATTTGAACCTTTCTTTAGAACAAATTCTCAAGAACCAGAATATATA